CATACCACCAGCCAGGTACAAGGCATTAACAACAAATACAGAAGCCAAAGCTGCAAACCCACAGTTATATGATATTCCACCAATGCAACGGAAATTAACATTTCCAGATATCCATCTTTATGACGTTCCATCCTCACGGGATGTGCTCCTTTTGCCACAAAACGGTAGCTGTGATGTCCCCCCACTTCTCGTGGCTCCGAAGGCTGAGAATCAGATCTCTGAAGAGAATGTTTATGATATTCCAAAAGGTTTGCCCACTGTTGTGGAGTCCAAGGAAGAGCTGGAAAAAAGCAGCGATAATTCTGGAGAGCAAGCATACAGTGCTTCTCCACAGCTTTCAAGAGATGCTAAATTAGAACAAGACAGATTATCTGTTTCTAGTGTGGACAGCAGAACCAGCACCCTCTCTACATCCTCGAACTCTTCTGCTGAGTCTTTTTCTATCTCATCATCAGAAGAGCCTGCCAAAGAAATTAAACTGGACCTTGATGTAGCCATAGAGACCCTGACTAGATTGCAGCACAGTGTATCCAGCTCTGTTGCAAGTTTAATGATCTTTGTGAGTAGTAAATGGAGGTTACAAGAACATCTAGAGAAAAGCATTGAGGAAATTCACAGAGCAGTCGATCACATAAAAGTATCACTGGGAGAATTCTTGGCCTTTGCTCAACTTGTAAAGGTAAACGCCTCTTACCTCTCTGATAACAACATTCAGACCAGAATTAAAAAACAGCTAGAAATTCTCACAAACTCCTTCAAAATTTTAACAGAAACAAGAGAAGCTCTAAACAACTGCAGCTGGTCACTAGAGGCTTTGGTCCTCAGGAAACCTCAAAACAACCCAGATGATCTTGATCGCTTTGTTATGGTAGCCCGCACGATTCCAGATGATATCAAGAGGTTTGTATCCATCATCATTGCCAATGGAAAGCTCCTCTTCAGAAAGAATGAGAAGGAACAAGAAATGAAACAATCAAAAGTGATCCCAGAATACAAAATGGCAAAACAAATCACAGTGCTGAGAAGAACAGAAATTGATTCGCTTCAAACAAATACTCCTGATAAATCCAATCAAAATCAGGCCTCTTCTGAGAAGCCAAAAGAAAATGCCACTGAGGACTCTGATTATATTCAGTTACAGGTTAGTATAACTGGATTTTACTACCTAGCTACATTCTTCAGGGTTTGCAAACACTAAGCTATTAGCACTCATATCTTTGCGTTGATGCCAAATTCAGTTTGCATTACTTCTATTTTCCAGACTTCACATGAATTCAGGATTTTGTTACAGGGCTGGATGGCACATGTAGAATGATCATTTGAAGTGGCATTTGAGAATTTAGGCAGCCAGCCAGCACTGAGAAAAAATTTTTAGCTTCTAGGTGGGGATTGCCAATTTGCTGCTTCTAACTAGTAGTTCTCTTCTTGCCAATACATTTTGTTTGATTCTGACATGACGCTACAGGAGATGTTCACTTTCTAACCTGAGGTATATTGGAAAGCATGCTTTAGTAAAAAGTTTTGCTTTAACAAATTAAACTCTTACTGTGAATTATCAGATTTGTTAGAAGCATTCTGGATGCTTGTTAGAATCATTCCCCTTACAATTACTGAAATGTCTACAAGAATGTAACTCTTGGTTTCACAAAGTAATGCTGGCCTCTCCTTAGAATTTCAGAAACGTTATGTTTTGCTGATGTTGGTTTCAGTCTTAGCTCTCGCTGGATCAGACATGAAATTTTTAGTAGGAAAAACCCTATAGTTGCTTCTAATAAGCATACTATTTTTGTTGCAACATGAAGGCTGCATAGTAAGTAGTTATTTCACCCTGAAAGAAGAGGAAAAACACATTCGTATTTAAATATTTAATGTAAACCATTTCAAATTTGCTTTCATTTTGATTTGTAACAGGCACAGAAAATCATTTCAGGTAAAGAAGTCACAAAGAAGAGCACACACTCAAAACCAAAGGTATTTCTGATTTTGAAAACTATTACTTATGAGGACTCCTGGTCCCCGATTGCTAAAATTCAAAGTAATTTGCATTTGGATACACATATCTATACAGAGAGATCGATTTGGTTTCTCCTAGTTAATTTTTCCAGAAGTAGTTCTTAGAATTACTGCCGAAAACTTGTGGAAAGCATTTCTTTTCCTCAAATGGAATGAACCACTATAGTTTAAAGTTATACTATTTATTTGCTTTACTTTGTGTATCATATGGGGTAGGGCTGTGAGAGTAGTTCAAATACCTTGTATACCACTGGCATAAGGATTGACTCTACTGTTGTTGTACAGTTTTAGTCATTCATAATCCTCATGAAGTCAGCACCATTAAAGATCAAGACTGAGTGTTTTGTACTATCTGAAAGCCTGAAATCCAGATCGTATATAAAGGATTGATGTTACACTACAGCACTTTGTGTGCTATCCATTATTAAAACTGTATTCAGTGACAATCAGGAGAAAACACCACTTTGAAATTGAGTACATTATGGAAAGAGAAATGATAGTAAAAGACTTCTGGGATGTGGCAATTTGGAGACTATTAACTAACAAAACTCCCTGTAAGTGAAGGATAGCAGGTAGAGTAAAATAATAAACAGTGTGCCACCAAGCTGAGTCTATTTATTTTTATTTAACCTTTTTCCAGGTTTTGCCATCTGCAAAGAAGACTGTGATTCAAAGCAAGCAGGACTCTGCAAAAAAAATAGCTCTCCCCGAGCACTGCAGGCTGTGTTTCGGTGCACTTCACAAGGCAATTGGTGTATTTACTATGAGTCTGAACAACAACCAGCCGCCCGAAGTCTTCATATCCCACAGCAAATTGATCATTATGGTGGGACAAAAGTTAGTGGATTCTCTCTGCCAAGAGACTCAAGACAGGGATGCTCGGAACGACGTTCTCCACAGCAGCAGCCGGTTCTGCAGCCTCTTGAAGAATCTGGCTCTCGCTACTAAAAATGCTGCAATACAATATCCAAATGCAGATGCCATTAGGGGACTTCAGGACCAAACTGAGGAGCTGTCTAAATACACACAGCAATTTAGAGCAATGATGGAGTGAAAGACACTGCTGTTTTTACAGATTCTTCATTGTTGCTGCTCCTCTGGCATGAGGCAGTCAAGGGAGACAAAAGAAGCTCAGTGACACTAACTTTAAGTCACCTCTAAGAACTCCTGCTGGGAAGTTCCTGGGTGCTGGTGCACTTTTAGTAGGTGGAGATCCACACAGCAGCAGATGTAGAAAATGTAGAATTAAATCTGTATTTTCTTCTCCATTCTTTAGATCCTGCCTGATTATGTCCTCAGCTTAGTGTCTGGGCAGGAATGTCTGTTGTGTATTAGAGCAAAATTATTTTATTATCTGGCTGATTTCTTATTTTTTAATTTCTATATAGGTCAGATATTTTTCCTTTATTTTTACTTTCTTATTCAGGTATGTCAAGTCTCTTTTTAGACTTTGCTGCACAATGTTCTGTAATTTATAATATCCCATCATCGTTCCCTGAGGACTTTACTCACAATTTCTAATTATATTTTTTCAAGCAGCAGAGAATTTTATTTATTTTTTTTTAAATACACGAATGTGATGCATGTATTATATGACAAACTCTGGCAAGTACTGCACGTATCCTAGATGTTAATGGGAAATGCTCCAGCTGGTAGCTGAGCACAGAGGAGAGTAAACTTGGAGGAGTCCTGGCTCCTGGTAAATCTACAGGGAGCTACATATCAGCATAGAACCATAGAACACCAGGTTGGAAGGGACCTCAAGGATCACCTGGTCCAACCTTCCTAGGCAAAGCATGACCTAGACCAGCTGCCCCAACACCTTGTCCAGCTGAGTATTAACAGTATCTAGGTTGGGGAATTCACCACTTCTTGGGGAGATTCTGTCTGATTGTTTTCATTGAGAAATATTTCTCTCTTGTGTTCACTTGTAATCTCCTCAGGAGTGACTTGTGCCCATCACCTCTTGCCTTTTCCATGTGACCCCTTGTAAAAAGGGAGCCTCTCCATCTTCTTTGTTCTAGCTTTTAAATACTGGGACAGTGGTCCTGCCGCAGCCTGGAGCTGTTCCCAGCATTGCTCCAGCTGAAACAACAATTTCAGTCACTGAACAAGCAGTTCAGTTCAGTACTATGCAGTGCTTGCATAGTACAGGGCCTGTACTATGTTGGCCTGTGCAACTTGCCGGACTTTATCCCCATATAGCCTGGATCTGAACTACAACAGTGGCCGGCCACCACCCAGGCAGACTGTACTCCTGCGTTGTGAACGTCCCAATTAGTTTATTTTAAAGGTTTTATCTGAAATCTCAAAGCCGGGCCTTTATTGGCAGTGTCGTACCTGTGTCTTTGTCCTGGACCATTACCTTTGTGCGCAGTTACAGCTAACTGGCACTGCCCCGCTGCACACACGCTGTGGAAACCCAGCTCATCTTCCTCGGCTGCACCTTCCCTTGGCAGTCGCCACGGCTTTTACCGCTATTTAAGCACCGGTACCTGTCAAGAGTACTGTTTGCACAGCCCGGTGCACGAACCGCAGCTCACGTTGGCTCTGAGCTGTATTAAACTCGTCCCTCGCGTGACCGTCACCGCCCCTCCCGCCTCAGCGGCCCGGGCAGCGGCAAGGCGAGCAGGGGCACCCCGCGGCCCACTCCTGCAACACCTCGTTTGGCCATAAATCACCCAAAATCGGTGTCCGATGAGGGGTTTCCTCATACCAAAGGGGGAATCCCGCTGCAGTGAGGTGCGGGCAAGGACAAGCCGCCGGGCGCTCCACTCTGTCAGGAGCCGTTGCTCCCCCCCCGGTGCGCGGTGGTACGTCCCGCTCCCCTCCGGCACCGCCCGATGGACTCGCCCACCCCGCCCCGTCCCACCCCTCCCTCCTTGAGCTGTGGCCACGCCCCCAGCCGGCTGGTTGCTATGGAGCAGCCATGACTCTCGCCGTGTGCGCCGGAAGTGCTTCTCATCTCCGGAAGTGTTTGTGCTGTGAGGAAGTGGACGCGGAAACGCTGGGGGTGGGGGAGCAAGATGGGATGCGATGGTGGCACCATCCCCAAGCGCCATGAGCTGGTCAAGGGACCCCGCAAAGTCGAGAAGGTTCGAGGGGGCTGCGGGGGGCGCTGCCGGGAGCGCGGCCTGGGCCGTCGGGCCGGCCTTGTGAGCCTAGGCCCTGCCCGCGGCCGATGAAGAGGCCTTGGGAGGGCCTGGTGAACGCCGCCCGGCTCGCTGTGGTTGACGGTTGGCAACGGGGGGGAAAGCGCTTGTCTGTGGGTACCGCCTCTTGGTCTGCATCTATGGCGCTAGTGGCAGTTACAGCGGAGATCTGTGGCTGTCCTGGAGGGCTTTCCAGGCACAGGGCAGTCTGCCTTCACCTAGAGGGGTGGTGTCTGATGGTAGTTTAATAGTGTGGCCAGACTGGGCCATTTCAGCATTCCGTCTGCCTGTATTCTGAATGGTGCTTGGGCTCTTTTTGGCTGATGTTTTAGGGTAATGGATATACAATGGTATCCTCTGTGCGTATAGGTGGATGAAAGTTGGGGAAAATCTCACAAGAAGCATTAGAAAGCGTAGATAAACTTTGCATGCTGGTGTAAAATAAGTAAATAAAATCCTTTTCCTCTCCACACCAGGCTATTGGAGTAGGTGTGAACCTCAGCCTTTCTTTTATGGCCTTATCTGTCATAAAATTTGTGGATTTAGACTGGAGGAGCAGGTAGCAGCCTAATATCCCCATATTTGCTTTTTTTTTGCTATCTTGGTCCTTACAGGGAGTGGATCTGGTAGTTGACCCAGGCAGGGGGGAGATGCAGAATTAGAGGGAAGAGGGCAATGGAGAAAATGTGAAGACCAAAAAAGAATAAAGAGGGAAAGGGACAGGTGGAAGTGCCAAAAAATAGGAAATCTGAGTCAGATGAGGGAGATAGGTCCCCAGTCCCATAATGCAGGAAAAGTTAATAGAGGTAAACTCTCAAAGCTGATAATGAATTTTGCTAAAAAGATTTGCTAAACCCATTTAATGGGTAAGCTTTGAGTGTAGAAAGTAGGTTTGGTAAGATACCTGCAGATTTGATTAAAGCTCCAAGTATTACTTGATTTTTATGGTTAAGTAATTTGCAAATACAAAAGCTATTTTTAAATCACGAGTATATTGTTTTTCCTTCAGGCTGACAAAAATGCTGAATTGGTGGCAAAATGGCACTACTGTGCTCTGAGTCAGGAGAAGTTGCGTCGCCCCATTGTGGCCTGTGAGCTGGGCAGGTATGAATGTTTCCTTATAGATCACTGTAATAAAAGGTGCTAATTTATTATTGAAAGAATGTTATGAGAATCAAATATGTTTACTAATTTTTTTTATATTGCAGGTTGTATAATAAAGATGCCATCATTGAATTTTTGTTGGATAAGTCAGCTGATAAAACTCCTATGACAGCTGCATTACATATCAAGAGCATCAAGGTAAACAGGTTGTGTCAAATAGTGAAGAGTGCCATGAAAGGGAAAACATGCAGCAAGACCTCAGTTTGCTTGTCTTCTTAGCGTACACTAAAAGTGTTAAAAATTGCAAATCACACTAAAAAAATCTTGGGGAATGTTATCATGGCTTAAGAATGATTATTAAATAGCTTAAGACTTACATTTTTGTTTTTCAGAATGTAACAGAACTAAAGCTTGCAGATAATCCAGGTTGGAGTGGTGATAAAGAGAGTATAAAAGGTGACAAATATGATGACATGCAGTCTGCCCGCTTCATATGCCCAGTGGTGGGATTAGAAATGAATGGAAGACATAGGTCAGTATTGAAGTTTCTGGATTTTGTTTTAAAAGTCATTACTGTGCTAAACGGAATGTAGAGTAGGTAAAAATGTTTGAATTAATGGTGTTGCAAATCACATGTATGCTCAAGCCTTTGTGGGGAATATTTGACTTCAAAAGGAGGGAATTGAGACTGCTAAGTGTTCTGTCTTTTTATATTCAAGAGGATAGATAAAAAATTAACCCTTTCATAAATTAATTTATACATGCAGTAAAGGAATACAGAGGGCAATGTTTGCAGAGAAAAAGTGACTAAAAGTTGTTTGGGGGCTTTACTGTGTGCATCAACTGAAATTTTAGGTGCTTAAAAATGTATTTTTATTGTTGTTTCTCTGTGGAAACTTGCATAAATCTGAAAATCCCTGAAAGTTTTTAAAAAGAACTTAAAACATTATTTAAAATTAAATAGAAGATTTGGAAAACAGATTTTGCTTACATAAGAAATTGATAAAATTTTGTCTTTATAGATCAAAGGAAGTAACAGAAGACTATCTGGTGCTGAAATCCTGTTTACTTCTTAGTATTTGATGCCCGAGATACCTTTTTGCATTAAAGGAGAGGAGCACATATATACACATAATAGGGAGGGCTGGTTATGTGAGTGGGAGATAATAAACACTTTAGTCTATGTACTGGATCCTGTACTGTGAGGATGGTGAGTCACTGGCACGGGTTTCCCAGAGAAGCTGTGGCTGCCCCATCCCTGGCAGTGTTCAAGGCCAGCTTGGCGCAACCTGCTCTAGTGGAAGGTGTCCCTGCCCATGGCAGGGGGTTGGAACTGGATGAGCTTCAAGGTCCCTTCTAACCCAAACCATCTGTGACTCTGTGACCTGTATTGACCTATAGCAAATGTACCAAAACATCTCAAAGTGCATTTGTCTTGCTAAGATCCACTTGAGAGATTGTCGTAAACCCATGATGAGTTACACCGAGAATGAAATAACAAAATGTGTTATGGTTTAATCTATTTAAAGATGCCGATACTTTGATTAGCTGCAAGAATTTGTAAAGAAGTTGGCTGTGTCCTGCTAGCTCATTGCTGTGTTGTTTCTGTGTTAAATCAGCACTGAATAGGGCTTCTTAAAAACAATTGTATGTCTTGTCGTCTTCTCTTTGAAGGTTTTGCTTCTTGAGAAACTGTGGCTGTGTGTTCTCTGAACGTGCTCTCAAAGAAATTAAATCGGAAGTTTGTCATAAGGTGAGTTTTTCATCAGCTTTAGTAGCAGTAGGGTCACATCTGACCTCCACAGATAGATACACAGATACATACATATGAGTGTATGTGTATGTACATATATATATATATGTACATACACAGTTGCATTCACATCCACTATTGTAAAGCTTGTTTTTTTAATCTGAATTTTGTTGAGGGATGAATGTAACTTGATTATTCAATGCAGGAATGTGATGGTTTGGCTAGTCTGATGATCTTATAAAAACTAAATGAATCCCACATGTTTTCTGGATTTCTTAAATAATCAGTATTTAGCACAGCCTCATGTTTGCGTGTAAATGTTTTCACACATGTTGATCCTTCACAATATTCAGAAGGACACTTTTAGAAATAGTGAAGTGGATATAATATAACTTAGTCTGTCATCTTTTCATTACTGGACAATGGGGGACAATGCTAACCACCCTGGAGAACATGTTTTAGTCCACATTTCCTTTGAGCAAAGTTGAAGAGTGATTTGGTAGATTTTTGGATATACACCGATGATGTTCTCGTTCTCCATTGGAACCAAGAAGGGACCAGAACTCTTCTAAATAAGATCATGGGGAACTGGTTGCTGTGTGTTCTGGTAACTTAACTGTTTGTATCTGAAGTGCTAATTAGCAGCATTCCCCCAGCACATTCTATGTTTATGCAGCAATGGGGCATATATAGTAAATTAACTGGAACTGGAATGAAGAAAAAAATAATAATTGTCTGTTATACATATGCTAGAAATAGAGTTTTTTAATTTAATAAATAGAATCCTCTTGTAATCCATGCTCTTTCAAAGCACAAAAAAAGTAAATGCAGAACGTTGGAATGTTGTAGATTGCCATACGCACATTTTTACTGGTCCTACCCACTGTATTTTAAGAATTGCAGTATTGTTTTTGAAATGAAAAGCAACCTGAGATCCATGTGGACTACAGTATTACTCTTTTCTTGCCACCTTCTGCCTGCCAGTGTGTGCCCAGATGCCCAGCCCTAGGTGCCCCTGCCACGTCTGGACATAGAGGCATTATGTGACTTCAGAGAGCAACATGATGAGAGTAGTTAAAAAATAATTTAACTACTGTATTTGCTTGTTTATGCTGTGTTTTCCATTCTTTTCAGCTAGCAGAATCTGTTTTCACTTCATCCCAGTGGATGAGGTTTATAGCATGGATATAAACTAAAGAAGTGTCAGTCTAAGAGCTGTGTGCCAGTTCTCCACTACGAGAAAGCTCTTTCAAAACAAGATATTCTTGTGCATTAATTTTGTCTGTGAGCCTACAGAGCACTCCTGATAGTCTGCTAAATTGTAAACAGCAAGTTTCCCAAAGGACTCTGTCAAACAGATGCTGTAGTGATGCAATGAAAACATTCACCAGAGAATACAAATACCCAGCAGCCCACACAACAGTTCTGCTCATATACCTTAAACAAGATCTTCTGAACTAGATAATGAGCATATATTTACATGCTACAAGGTGCATATCGCAAAACGTTGTGCTTTGTGAAACTGGCTTGCTCCTTTTGCAGGCTGCCTGGCTTCGCTCATGGAGATGCTTACTACTTTGTGGGAAGCCCCACAGACCAGCCAGTTTTTTCACTGCTCTGTTTTCTTCTCAGGATTTTTTCTGTTGCAGCTCATACAAGAAATAGAGCAATCTGTTTGCGCAGTGATATGCAGGTCACAAAATAAGTGTTCAGGAAAGAGCTGAATTCATATAAACATTTAGTCTTGTTCAAGGAAATGGAAAACACCGAGATGAAGAATTCAGCATTTCCGTAGTACTAGATTTGAAAGGCTTTATGGAGTCTAGGTACAGGGAGGATGAAGCAGTCTTTCTATTGGAGTTCTCTTTAAAAAAAAAACACATTTTGCCTCCACAGAAACTTACATAAAGAGCTGACAATATTAAATACATGTATTTATCTGCTTTACTGGAATTGTTAAAAAGACTGTACTGGTACTAGGGCATGGCACAAGAATGTGAAACTGTCATGGGTGGAGGACTTTTAGTAAGGCAACTGTAATTGTGTGAGGCCTTTTTCTAAGTGATGTGCCTCCCTTGGAAGTAAACTGTTGTTTCTCAATTCACATCTTAAGTAGCAATATACTGAAGGATTCAAGTTGAAAAAAAATAACGCTAAAGTGAGAAACCCTAAGGCAAGCAAACAGTCAGACACTGTAGCAGTGTTGAGGGAGGCTTTGAAGGGTCTTGCCAAAATACTAAACTCCCTGGCCAAAGGCTTTTTGAAAGAGCAATGAGAATGTTTTTATGGTGTTTTATGTTGGAGAGTGAGCTTGTTAGATGAAGTAAGTGCTTGGGACAAATTCTGAAGCTTCTAACTATTTGGACTGAAAAAGAGCTTTTTCTAAAACACAGCAACTTATGAGTAGAAAGAAAATATGGAATACCTGTTTACACAGAAGCATAGTTTGTTTGAGCCATGTTTTTGAGGTTTTGTACAGCAAGAAGAAAAAATGTTAACTCTGTACCAAGTCACATGCTAAAATGTGCAGGACAGGGCTTCCAATCAGCAGAAAGGGAAACAACTTTGATTCCAGATAAGAATTTGGTGCTATATATTCTGCACAGAAGCCCTGAAGATCAGTAGTTTTCTGCTGCCTCTTGCTTCCTATTCTTCAGGAAGAATTACATGCGACATGGCAATTGAAACTTGTACTTTTGAATAGGACATTCTTACCTATTGTTAATTCTCCAACAGACTACTAAATGAAAAAAACCAGCAAGACTGTTTCTACTTGCTCTTTTTGTGTTTGATGGGATCTTGAAGGCTGTAAGTTAGTGCTCATCTCTGTTGGTCCATTGATTTTGGTGGGGCCAAAGTGATTAAATGTTTTAGAATTTCTGTTCTAACTGGCTTCCTGGTTCTTCCATGGGCAGTTTTTGGTGCCTGCTTGTTTGGAAGTTGCTATTTGACAAAGTTATGCCTGTAGAAATGATGCAGTGAAAGAAGTGCCTAGGAGTGCATGGCATCTATTTAACTTCATGTTTTGGGGTTCAGAAAAGCCACTGTTGCCAATTGTTAGTGTTGAGTCCCCTGTCTAAGAAGTTACGATTGCTGTAGTATGCTAGAGGTCATTTGGAGATGGGACAGTGGTTATTGAATCTGCAGTGGAAGCCCTCTGGGGAGTCACTCTGGAAGTTAAGGAAAAGATTACATTTTAAAGCATAATTCCTTACATCACTTGAAATTTATTTTAGAATTGTTTTTGGAGTCAACAGACTCTTAATACACACTTGAAATAGTACCCTAACTATTAAAGTCTGCCATATAAAACAATCACATGTTTAACTTAGATACAGAGCTATTGAACATGTGCTTTTTGAAACAGAAATTATGTATGCATCTTTCAGATAGAGAGTAATGTGTATGCAGTATGTTACAGAGCACAGTTTTTCCTTGAACAAAGTCACTTTGACACTGCTCTTAGATCAATAGTCACCAAAAGTTAGTAAACATTGGCTGCTGAGATCTAAAAGTTGGTTGATATAACACGTACAGAACTCTGTGAATGATTTTTATGTATGTTTAAATGCTTTCAGCTTTTGACAGTTTTATTAATTTGTTTACCATTGTTAGAAGTAAAAATTATCTCAAGACTATAATGTGGTCATGGTCACTCAGTTTAATGTGTAGAATACTGCTTCTTAATGACTGACAATGGGGTGGTTCAGTTATGGATTTTCTGGGGGTTTATAGATGTAAAATTCTGTCTAAGATACAAAATCCTTTAGGAAAAGTGGATCACACTCCAGTGTGGTCAGACTGATCTGGGCAAATTCATACCTAAATTATATTTTAAGAGGGCTATTTGTGCAGATGTTTTTTCCCAGTTTGACTTGTTCAGTTTCTGCAAAATAAGCCCATGTTATAGAGCACCTTGTTACTGACTTTATCCTTCTAATTCAGTTCAGAAGCTATACACAACAATTGTTCTGTGTGATGCTGATGAAAGGTAAAAGCTGGATACTGCATTTGCTGCGCTTTGGAAGACAGCATGGAGTGGATTAATGCTGGCAGTGCCCTTCTGTGGGTTGGGAGTGGTTTGGAGATTAATTATGAATATTGCTATGATTAATACGTGCCAGAGACCCATTAGCTTCACTAATGGTTTTTACAGGGGCTCTCCACAAGCTCAGTGTGAGCATGCTGCCTGGCTCTTTTTCGCCTTTCTTTTTTATTCCTTGTATTTCCTGGCATAAAAAAGGCATCTCCAGCAGTATTTAGCAACAGAATAAGTCCTGAATTATACATGAAACTGAATACCGGCCTTTGGGTTGATATTATAAGTTTTTATAACTAACTAGATTTATTTATTCTGGATAAATAGAAAGACCAGATGGGCTTTCTTTAGGTTAAAGTTCATTTGGAAGAAATTTATGTTTCTGGGAAATTCGTGTGGGAAAATGAGCAGTGCAGTTCCAGGAACCTGGGAATAAGTTTGTAGTAGGAAGCTTTCATGTTCTATTGCTGGGTTATTTGTTGATGTTTGTTTGTTTGTTTGTTTGTTTGTTTGTTTGTTTGTTTTGGAAAACTGCTTAATCTGTAAGTCAGTTTTCTTGTAAAAATTGACTGATGTTTTGGATGCATGTTGAAGCTTACATCTAAATTGCTCCTAGACCTGTATTAATACCTTGTATTTTCTAATCAAGTGAGCTTATAAGTAACAGGCTATATTTTATTAGTTGCCATCAGAGTTCAAGCAAAATAACTAGTAGTTTATTTGGGTTTGCTGGAATGATACTTTCATCTGCATTCTCACCAAAATGCTTCTAAAGGGAGATGAACAGTTTGAAACAACTTGTCACAATTCAGGTTTCTCCTAGTCTCTTTCTGTCAGTATCTCCTAACTAAAGACTTTTGGAGACAGAGTGTAGAGATGGTCTTATGAGACTTTTAATCCTGTGGAAGAGTTGTTATATTGTAGAAAAGACCACCACCTATATCCTGTTTCCTTAAATCCC